ATTGTAGAGATGAGGTCTCGCCAAGTCGCCCAGGCGGGTCTCGAACCCGTGGGCTCAGGCCATCCACTCACCTCAGCCTCCCAAAGGCATGGGATTACAGTCTGGGCCACCAAACCCGGCTTAATTTTTTATTTATTGTGGAGACAAGGTCTTGCCAAGTCGCCCAGGCTAGTCTCGAACCCCGGGCTCAGGCAATCCTCTCATTTTGGCCTCCCAAAGTGCTGGGATGACAAGCGTGAGCCACAGTGCCTGGCCTCATTTTTTTCGCTTTTTGTAGAGACAGGATCTTGCTATGTTGCCGAGGCTGGCAGCCCTGTTCTGGCCTTGGACTGGGCTGGAGGGCAGGGAGGGCTTGGTGGCTCGGGTGGGGACTTCCCGAGGAGACCCCGACTGTGCTGCGGGACGGATGGCACCCACCAGGCTCACCTGCTCGAAGGGGGCGCCGGCGTCCTCAGGCCGGGCCTCGTCCAGGATGTTGCAGGGCACGTAGCCCGACTGGCCGCTGCGGCTACGCAGTTTCCACCACTGCCGCCCGTCTTCCAGCACCTGCCGGGCGGCATGGTCAGGGCCTGGGCCGCCTCTGCCAGGGCCCCCGCGTGGGCGGCCAGGACCACCCACTCGAGAGTGTCCGGTCTCCCTTTGAGCTGGGTCCTCACACAGCCTTCTGGTGCCCCCAGCTCCACCCAGCGTCCCACCCCAAGAACTGCTCCACCATCCGCCTCCGCGGGCCCTGCAGCGAGGGGCCCCTAACAGGGCTGCGGGTGTAGACCACCCCCCTCCTGCTCCACTTTCCGTCCCCCAGCAGGTGGCCTGGATTTGGGCTTGGCACAGGCAGCCAGTGGCGCAGGGCTCCGGGGGCGGGTGGGAACGAGTCCTCGTCAAGTCCCCCCCTTGGCGCCGAGACAGGGCTTCCTCCAGGCCCTCGGGGGTCCCCAAGACAGGGAGGCCCTGCCCCTGGCTGTGCATCAGAAGCCCAGGGATGGCCGTGCCTCGATCTAGTGTCACACAGCCCGGCCACCAGACTGCTCCCCCGCTCCCCAGGGAAGCCCCTCCCTTGAGGCCCCTCCCCTGGCCGGGCCTCCTCACCTCCAGGACCTCATCCTTGAGCACGGACAGCTCATTGGCGTTGCGCGCTGTGAAGTCGTACAGAATCTTGACGTACTTGGCCATGTCTGGCGTTGGCTGGTAGCCCCTGCGAAGAACAAGCAGGGCTGAGGCCGGGGCTGGGCGGCGGTCTCCTCCTGGAACCGGGCAGGGGCGGCAGCTGTCCAGGCGCACGGCTGCCTCTGTTCTGTTCTGAGGTCGCCGCGGACAGCCGCTGCGGCTGTCAGCCGGGAATGGAAACTGTGCCGGTCCCAGAGCGCCAGGGCCCCACGTGGAGGCGGGGCGGGCGGAGGCGGGCAGATGGGGGGCTGGTGTGCACCAAGAGGCTGGCCCAGCCCAGGTCACCTCAGGGGTCTCCAACCTGGTCCCCCAGCAGAACCAGAGCCAGGTGTGGCTGGGGAGGTGACAGGGGCTCGACTTCCTAAGCTGCCCACCAAGGGCCGAACACCACCCAGGCCCTCTGAGTACGGGAAACAGCACCTGTGTGCACAGGAGGGCCACCTGCCCGTTCCTCTCTGCGGGCTGGGCTGCCCCCGAGGGGCACGGGGGTCCTGGCTTCAGCACAGAGCAGGCCTGTGATTGCCACCCGGCCGGCAGGCACTCCTGATGAGTGTGGCCCTGATCATCAGGGCGGCTCCCTAGCCAGGTGCTCAGGGAAGGGGACGTGGGGGCCGTCAGGCAGGGCCAGGGGGGACAGGCCATGGCTGGAGGTCACAGGGGGCTGTCTCTGAAAGTGTGGTCGCAGGCCAGGACCACGGGTGCCAGGCTGACCGTACAGGGCAGGGATGGGGCACAGTCCTTTAAAATACGGACTCCAGGCCAACCTCGGTGGCTCAGCTTGTAATCCCAGCACTTTGGGAGGCCGAGACCAGTGGACTGCCTGAGCCCTGCCTGGCTCCACCCCTCCTAAAATCAGTCCTGGGGTCTGCCAGGGTAATGAGTGCCCAGGCAGATTCTGGACCAGGAGTGAGAGCATAGAAGAGGAGAGGAGGCAGGAGAGGCGGAACCCCCCCCCAAGTGCCCTGGGTGTGTTCTCTGTCCTCTGTGGAAAGGGTGTGGGGGAGGGGAGAGAGGCTATACCAGCCCAGACCCTCTGTCTCTTCTTCTGGCTCGCCCAGATGCTGGGCCTGAATCAGTGCCAACAGTCCCAAGAGGTAACAGTGTTCGGTGAAGCCATGTAAGCTCCGTGGCTTAGCAAGTTTCTAAGCTTGATTCTAAAACATAAACGTGTAGGCACAAAGAAAACTGATGTATTAGGGGAGTGAATGTGCATGGGATATACCCTAATACACTCATAAAGTTAAAATGAAAACCTAGTTCTAATCTGAATGCTAGGCATGGTGGCTCACGCCTGTATTCTCAGCACCTTGAGAGGCCCAGGCGAGAGGACTGCCTGAGCCCAGGGGTTCGAGTCCGGCCTGAGCAACATGGCAAGACCTCGTCTCTACAATAAATCAAAAAGTTAGCTAGGCGTGGTGGCGCGTGCCTGTGGTTCCAGTTACTGGGAAGGCTGAGGTGGAAGGATTGCCTAAGCCCAGCAGGTCGAGCCTGCAGTGGCCGTGAGTGTGCCTCTGCATTCCAGCCTGGGTGACAGAGTGAGTCTCCAACTCAAAAACAGGAAAACAAATTGTGGCAACGGGTGCACAACTCTGACTATACTAATACCCATTGAATTGGACACTTTAAGTGGATGAACTGTATGATATGTGGATTTTTATCTCAACAAAGTTGTTTTTGGCCCAACAAAGTTGTTTTTGGCCCGACAAAGTGGCTCACGCCTATAATCCCAGCACGTTGGGAGGCTGAGGTGAAATGACTACCTGAGCCTGCGTGTTTGAGACCAGCCCAGGCAACTTGGCGAGACCTCATCTCTACAATAAATAAAAGATTGCCAGGTGTGGTGGCTCAAGCCTATAATCCCAGCCCTTTGGGAGGCCAAGGTGAGAGGATTGCCTGAGCCCGCAGGTTTGAGACTAGCCTGGGCAACATGGTGAGACCTCATCTCTACAATTAAACAAAAATAAGCCAGGCGTGATAGTGCACACCTGTAGTTCCAGCTACTTGGAAGGC